ATATAAATGCAGTCACCTTGCTGCTGAAAATCATCCACTGAAAGGTGGGAAGAAGTTATCAGAAAAGGGTAGCAGCAGTTCCTCATTTACCTAATAAATTTCCCAATTTTCTCTTGTTTCTGGAAACTTATGTCTATTTTACTCAAAATTATGGGTTTCAGCTTAAAAAAAAGTTCTGGAAGCAGAACATATTGGCAAATTTCTGAAGTAAGCTCATGTAGAAGTACATTTAATAATCACACATGTATAACATACTTCTGATTATATGGAAAAGAAGTTTCAGGAAAGAAGCTAATTGTAGAAGACATGCAGAAGTTGCTTAGCAATTCTCTTCTCTGTCCATCTTTTTCCACTGAAAATTACACCCCCTAGTCTTTCCCACTGTGGAGTTTATATGCATATTTAATTTAACAAAGAGGCTGTTGGGAAGAAATATTTCTTACCCTACCTTCAATTTATTTTCAGACTTGAAATTCCTTTCTTCCTGTTTATTAAAAAAATGCAAATGTTGGTATGTTTTTATATAAAAGAGAATAAACTGAAATGTATACCCTTTCACAATCAATCTGTCAGAACTCCTTAAGGTCTAGATTCCCACTTGCTACAGTTAATTATGTTTCTGAAAATACTTACTCTAGTTATGCTAGCATCCTGCAGAAGGCACAAAGGAACAAACTCTTAAGAGTTTGCAAATCACAGAAAAACAAATGCTTGCTGGCTGGGTTAGGCTTAGCCCAAATTCAGTGTCCTTTCTACTCGATCACTTTTTCTACATGTACATTCCATAACTCTTTGAGACTGCTAGCTGAAGAATTAGTGGTACTGCTGAATCAGCTAAACAATCGGGTAATGTGATAACAAAAATGCTATTCAAACATTGATGCTTCCTTGAAACTCAGCATATAGGTCCCTTAGATATTCTGGGACAAATATCAGAATTCTAGATTATAGCTAAGGAGAGGTGGGAATGTTACTAACTATACTTCCTGAAGAATTGGGTTAATATCCATTTGAGAAAGGCTTTTCAAAGATATTCAAAATATTTGAAAAGTTGTTGATCATCAATGACCTTATTGAACAAGAAACCAAGATTATTGTAAGTGCCAAGAAAGCATCTTATTTGCTGTTTCAAGACTCTGTCTGTAGGAGAAGGTACGGAGAGGATTCTTCTATACATTTGTGTTTTATCAAACTACAAATGTTAGGCATAGCTACTACAATGCTAGGCAGCTTCTAAGAAGGAATGCTTTTTTGTGTTTGTATGTTGTGTTTCCTCTTTTTATCCCTTTCACTTTTGCCCATATCTTTCCCCCTTCCCTTTCCTGCTTCCTGATTTTAGAGAATAGTAATTATCCAATAGTAAATTGTAAGCTCTGAGAAATAGCCCTGGGAAATCTGTCTGCTTCCTTGACTGCAAGAGTAATCTCCCAATTGCAGAACTAGTCAAAACAGAAGGAAGAGAGTTGCTGTGTTGTTCATCAAAGAACAACTGCTCTGCAATACTGGCATGGAATCAGGAGCTCGTTATAGAGGAGTTGTGTTCATTAAAAGAAAAGAAGAACCTATGTGCATAAATGCACACCCAAGCAGGTACTTTTCTTCCATATCAAGAATGGGAAGAATGTATAAAAAGGGCTTCCTTCATAGCTTCTTTTTTTCTGCAACTGAGCAATAAGATCAATAGTTGCTCCTCTCACAGAATGCAATGTGGAGCAGTTGGGTTCCTAGAAGTCTTTTTCTTCCTATCCAACTTCACCTAGTGGCAGGAAAACTCAGCTTCTGTCCTTAATGTATGATAGTGTGGAGGTCAGCGTTTGGATTTCATTGTTTCAGAGATACTTTATTTTACATGCAAAAGGTGGCTCACATTGGAGTAGGGAGCTTCTCTTTTTACTAGAACTGAAAATGAGGGAAAATAGTTTTATATTCTTCTGGCTGCAATTAAAAAAAAGGGGGGGCTACAATTTAAAAAAACAGACAAATTATTCTTCACTTTTCAAGCTTTGCTATGCAAGTCTTCCGATACCCTGGAAGACAAATTCTGCAATTGTTTTTCTCCAACATGCACCAATATTATCAATGCAAATATTGCACTTATGGCAGATATGCCTTCAGTCTGAGGTTGATATGTCCCACTCTGAACTGACTCCAAAAGAAATAGGGTGCACAAGTGAAGCAGCTGTAGCTAAAAACCCATGGAGGTTCAGAACCCGCAACCAGATAGTCACCCCCCCCCCACTTGTCAGATCAACTGGATCACAGCTGATCAGCCATCTCCTATAATTATCTGCAAAGAAGATTCTGCACTGTAATGCCACCAAAACCTTTTGGAACCTTTCATGCCAGGACCTCTTAGACTTCCTTCAACCTGCCACAGCAGCAAGCTTGGAATGAGATGGAGACTATATTGTGAAAATACGTTCACGAGAAACATTAGGGTGTCTTCTCACTGCATGTAGCTAAGCCCTAGAAAAGAACCAACAGTTGCCCAAAGGAAAATCTAATCGTTTTTAATGAGCAAGTTGGGACTGCATAGCTAATTGCACTTGTGAAGCTAGCCAAATGGATACTTAGCATTAAGCCTGATACATTAATTCTGGATTTGATATTATAAATTATGATTATACTCATTTATCTTTAGATATTTGGTATGTAATTAATTTCCTCACAGAACTAGGTTAAGGGTTAAGGTTTAAGTTGCTGCCTCTTTGATTTCTTAAAAAAAAACTTTAAAATTTGGGACAAGACTATTATATAACTTTAATTAATTCAGCTTGCTCTTTCTGTAACGCAGATGACAGGTAAGTGATTTGTTTAAATCCATATGTACCCAATTTTCAGTAATAAACCAATGTGAGGTAATAAGTGAGGCAAACCAGTTTAAGCCTGGCTTGAAAGACAATTCTAACTCACATCAGGAATTAACAGATTCCCCATCCTTTACAGACTTGGCTTGACAAAGAAAGTAATCCTTAAAGTTAACCACAATATAAAAAGGCTGTTCCTATAAAATAGGTAAATAGCATATAAATAGATTCTTATTCAACTAGCAATCATTTTCTTTTTTAATTAACCTTATCATAATTTAGGAGATGGCTTTTAAAATCTTTCTGGCTTCTTAAAGGATGTAAAATCAAAATGTTGGCACGTTAATTTTTTTATTGTTGTTGCAAAATTACATTTACTTTAGCATAGTTATAAGCATTCTTCGTTGTTGTGTGATGGTTATGTATGTTGGTGTAGAGTATAATTCACCATCCTGAGGTTGGGACAGGTTTTCCCACTACCTTATTAAAGGAAGAAAACAACTTTCTTATGAAAATTGACCAGGCACAGGGACCAGTGTAAGGGAGAGAAAAACATCACAACACCAATTCAAAAACTGAATTTGAATGTTCCATTCCCATCACACTTTATAGTAGGATTAAAACTAGGCTCTGCTAGCTTTTGTTTTCCTACATAAATTCTAAAAAAAAAAAAGTACACATACTTAAAGTTGCACATACACAGCAGTAGGGTGTTTAAAGAGATTACTCCAGAAACTTTGTATTTTAAAATTCTGCATTAGGGAATTTAGCTCTCAAGGAAAGAAACACAGTGATTCACATTTCTAAAAAAGGTTTCTGACTCATTACATAAATTTGGGCAATCCATATAAGGCCTCTCTATATTATGACATGTTGCAAATATGCATACAAAATTTCCTATGATTTTTTTTTAATCTGTAGAAAAAAGATTGCTGGCCCAGAATATTAATTTACAAAGATGGATTTTAAGAAGGCAAGAATTTTAGAGATTCACACATCCCTAATTAGAATAATTGTAGCCACAGGTTAATCCATTAGAACAGTTGCAAGATAAACATCTTTATGACAAAAGATTATTATTTTTTCCAGTCAGAGATTTGCCTTTTTCTTTTGTGCATTCTTTGACAGGTGTTCTCAAAAACTATCCCTCAACAAGAGGGACTGCCTGATATGACCCTGTCCAAGCATAGAAAAGATGGCCTCTAATGCAAGTAAAGGATAGTAAATGACTACAGAATCAGCTTCAAGGATTTACAATAAACAACCATAATATATACAATTTATGGACTGGAAAAAATGGGACTATATATATAGTCCTATTTTGTCCAGTCTATAAATTATATATATTATGGTTGTATATTATATATACAATATATATATATAATATGTCCTTGAAGTACAATTAGATATAACCTATAAGTGATAGACATACTTTGTTGCTCTTCTCCAACCAATGATTGCAATTTAATTATCTTTTCTCATTGTCCCATGACAGAACGTCTGGCCTTATATATGTTGTTCTACTATTATGTAACATATATGCTAACATGTGCTGTCTACCCTGTCCATATTTCTCTAGCTTCCTGGGAGTTCTAGATCCCATTAAATATTTATTTTGATCAATTCTTTAAGTCCGCATCTAGTTGATGCAGGGCATAACCACTTTTGCTGATCTTGCAACTCCATCTCTCTCCAGTGAATGGAATGGGGATTTAGACAATGGATTCTTATAGCTACAATTGTTCCTGTGTGATCCTCATTCAGTCAAGACTGAACAAGCTCAAGGGTAATTAAATCTGCAGACTCCTTGAGGCTCGGAATCTTTGGCCCTATCTATGGCTAGGTAGACAAAGGAAAATTGAAGAGTAATGAGGATAACATACAGATTATACTTGATTGCTATTCAGATTTAATAGGAGAAACCCAAGGATGTGCTCTAAATTTTAGATTCTAAAACTGGGATTGCAGGAAGAAATCAAATCAAATTTTTGTGAAAACCATTGTGTATCTCCTTATCACCCAGAATTCACATCCAAGCGAAACAGTCATCCTCATGTGCAATGCAAGCCATTATCTACAGGATGAGTTTATGTACACAGGGACTGTTTTCTTTGCATGCTTGAGAGAGAGAGAGAGAGAGAGAGAGAGAGAGAGAGAGAGAGAGAGAGAGAGAGGGAGAGAGAGAGAGAGAGAGATGCATACATACACACACAGCAACATGCACTCATACATACATGACAGAGAGACAGGGAGAGGGAGAGAGAGAGAGAGAAAGAGAAAAGAAGACAGGGAGACTGGCAAGAACAAGAGGGCAGATGAGTAAAATTTCTAAATTTTATCATCCTCAAAGCATCAAGGGCTAAGATACCCAAAATATATTGGACAGCCTAAGGGAGAGACAGTGAGGTAAGGGCTGTGCGGAGTTTCTTCATGGGACACCAGTATGCTAGAGAACTCTGTATCATTCTTTACAGGTATCTGAAAAAGCTAAATATCAGTTTAAGAAATTACCAAGCCAATTAAAAGAGTATGGCTATTAACATCAAAGCAAAGGCCATTTCTTTCCTTGAAGGAGAGAGGGAGGGAGGGAAGGAGGGAAATAAGGAAAGAGGGAGGAGAAAATGATATGAGAGAATGGAGATAATAAAGTGAAATTTCATTGTTTCTTTTTACAGCATCTCAGCATCCTTAGCAGAATTCAGCCTTCATTGTGTGATAATCTGTCTCCCATATTCCAGGATGGTCAGTGGCTTGACAGTTGTTAGAATAAATGTGGCTGATTCTTCTTTCACTGAAATTTCTTCCCTTTGTTTCAGCACACACAAAAGTTGTGAAAGAAGTTGTCCTTTCCCTCCCCCCACTCTCTCTTGCTCTGTCTCCTGTATGACATTTTTTTTCTTTTGCTTTGTGTGTTGTTCTTGATGTTTCTGGGTTTTTATTTCAGCTGTTATTAACATTTACTGAGTAGGCAGAACACGGACACTGCCAACAGCCACAGTGGTACGGCCAAACACATAGATCCATTGCCTGCAATTCCTGTACCAGGTCCTATGAGATGAGAAAAAGGAGACAAAAAAAAAGAACAAAAATTACATATGATGTAATATATATGAAATGGATTATATGGGAATAACATTCTCATTACTATCTTTCCCCTCAATCTGAGGAAATATATTGGTTTTCAGACTGATGGTCTTTGGATAGGATTCTGCGCTGGGTAGGGATATTATGTACTGGACTGTTGCATTTAATAAAAAAACAGAAATTAAGTATATCTATTTGTGCATTTTTTCCCCTTACCATCACACTAAAAATTAGGCAACCTTTGAAGGAATCCATAGGCAGCAAAAGTTCCTTTCAAAGTTTTACCAAATCAAAATGCAGTTAAGCTGAAGGGTTCCTGAGCATCTCTTGTACTTTTCTTTAAAACGAAAAGATTGAAAAATATCAACTAAAAGGCAATTCTAGTCTGAAAGATGGTTTAATTCTTTGAAAAGCAACAACCAAGCAAGCAGATGAATGGGAATCCTGCATCTTGTATTATGGTCTATTAAAAGAATGGGTGTTGATTATTGTCCCTGTGCACAATTCACAATGTTGCTTTTGCTCTCAGTGGAATTCAGAAACTCAAATTAGATTCAGACCACGTAGAATTGGAAGAATCATCTATTTCCCCTAAATGGCTTATTCCTATCTTGACAATTTTAATGAGTCAGTTCTTCAAAGTAGATCAGGTCACGAAACAGACACCACAAGGATTCCAAAACTGTTACGTTGTTGTCCTAGAGTATGTTTACAGAATCTTGAAAGTCTGTCCGGGTCTTTCTTCAATCCTGTCTTGTACTAAACCAAATCAAGGTAGAATAAGGTGATCGTTTTTTCTCGTTTTTCCTGTAGTCTCTTCCATGTCCCTCCTTAAAACAGCTTACTTTTTTTCCTTTGATGTCTCTTTCATACCTTCCCAAGGTCAGCAATAAATCCCTTTACATGATGTGAGCAAGAGGTCTCTATGAATTTTCTTTTTATCTGCTGTCCCAATTTTAGCTGTCCCAATTTTCATCACGTGGTGGCCCTTGAATGCAAAGGATCATTAGAATTCTACACATTCACAACCATCTGCTTACAGCCAGACATCCCCCCTTCAGAGACCAATTCATCACATCACTCTAATCAATAAAACATGGAACCAATCAGCAAATGGCTTCAATCCCAGAGGAGACTGCGTAATTATTTATTTGGTAATCGGGAAAGGGAATGATTTTCAGTATAACATTTATGGTCTTGTAGCATGATGCCCATGGAGTGGAGCAACAGGAGTTCCAGAAAAGCTTTGATTTTCACAGGGATGGGCAATGAAAGGCATTCAATGCTGCAGCAACAAATAATACAGAATCATAACAGGATTATTAAATGCTAACATGATGCACATCCTTTCATTTAGATATGTGCACAGCGCTCCTGCCTAGAAAGATCTCTTAAATTGCATTTGACAGAGTAACACTCTATAGATCATAATGAAATTCCATGGTAAATTCTACATTTTGCATTGCATACATGATGTGAAATCAATTGTTCCATCCTGAATCAGAATTATTCTTAAAATTACATACTAAGAAAGTGAGATGGAAATATGTAGGTGTGTATATCCTATGCTCAGGAAATGGTTAATAATAAAAGAAAAATCAATTATTTGAGTGAGGGAATAGAAGACTGGAAAGTTAAGTGTTGGTGACACTTGGGAGAAGGGCGGCATATAAATCTAATAAACCAAACCAAATCAAACCAAACCAATTTATTATATGTCTTCTATCTTGATGTTTGTGTTCCCCCCTTCCCAGTTTTATGTGAGCCGCCCTGAGTCCCCTCAGGGAAAAGGGCGGCCTACAAATTCTAATAAACTATTTGATGGGTGCTTCATTGGCTATTAATATCCTCATATACGTTGGATCAAAACCCCACTTACTCAACATCTCTGCAAATTTGTCTTAGAAACAGAAACCTTTATAAACTATCTAGATAATAGATAAAACAATATTACATGTAAGTCAACATTAATAATTCAAGTTTAAATTTTCTATGGCAAATACTTGGGACAAGATACTTGAGAAATATTTGTGGATCCTTTAAAAACATTTAATGGTACCATATATAAGGTGTAGTGATACATTAATATCAACAAAATGCCATCCAGGTGGCAAAAACTAGTTCATCTTCACTGTTCTAAAAACGCTGAATAGGATCAGAAGTAGCTGTATGGATGATATCGGTAGATATTAGTGCTGTAGGTGAAGAAATTCCAAAAAATATCCGAAGAATATAATGGCAAGTCGCTTCAGTCCTCTTGTCAAGAAACCTGTGTGGATCTGTCTGTGAGCATATCAATACTGCATCCTTAACCTGTCTTGTGTTTCTGCCACCATAACTTTAAATTAGATTAAGAAAAAATCCTATCTGAAATACATTTGCAGTTTAATAAAGAATTCAATTTGGACAATAGCCCAACATAATATTGACTTGACAATTCCTTCCTGTTATTCACTCCCAAGAAAGTAGCTGTGAGCAAGTCTTAAGACAAAAACTTTTATTAAATATAATTGAAATTGAAATTATATATAAAGAAGTTAAAGCATTAATATATACAGTGATGGGATTCAGCCAATTCGCACCTATTCAGAGAACCGGTTGTTGGAAGAAATCTCATCCACTTTACAGGGCTAATCCTGTAAGAAAGGCAGGAAAGAAACATTCTGGTGTTGTTACTAGCCTATTCTTTATTAGACTTACAGAAATTACGTCTCCAGTTAACTCTTATTACATTGTAACAGCTAAGGCAAAGAGCCCATCAATATGAGTGACATTGAGTTGGCCACGGCCACCCAGTCACATGACCACTGAGCCCCACCTGCCCAGCTGATCATTAAGGCAGAGAACCGGTTGTTAAATTATTTTAATTCCATCACTGAATACACACACACACACACACACACCTCGTAACATTTAAAATGAAAACTAAACTCTTTCTTGTATTTTATCAGGTTTTCTTTAAGGTAGTCTGCTATAGTTTCTGTTACAGGTGCTTCTCAGTGGCATAGTGGTTATAATATTTGTGTGACATGCAGAATGTTTCTAGTTCAAACCTTAACAGAGACTTTCAAACACACACACGTATATCACTTTTTCCCTTGAACTATTCTACTTTTTCCCTTTTTAAAAAAATCACCAGTACACAATTTTATCTTTTTTCTAATCCCAGATGAATCATTTCATCCTTAGCTTCCAAATAGCTCAGTTGCAGTGAAGTCATTGTAACTCAACTGCCTTGAAAATTAAAGAATGTCAGTGGGGCTTTTTAAAGCAGTTTAAGAGGAAGGAGGGAGACAAATTAAAGGTAGAATAATGATACTAACGCAAATAGTTATTGCAAGGTTTTGAACTCTGATGTTCTTCATGTTAAATAAGTGTTATAATTACTATGATCCTGAGAAAATAGAACAATCTGCAGCAGACTTTGAGAAAAAATGGGGTCAGATGGCAGCATCCTGTCTCTGTGTAAATTCAAGGATTTTTTAAAGAGTAAATTAAAACACAGTGGACAAAAGAAGATGGCAACACTTGAACTAACAGAAGTCAGAAAATATATTTCAGCTGGAGCATGACAAAGTGAACAGAAATTGCATATATAATGAACTAGAAATGAGTAGAAGACAATGTCCATTCCTCTGTCTCATACTCATGATGGGATGATCAAGAGTCAAGTTCCCTTAAAAGGAGACTTCACCATTATAATAATAAGAGTTGTCCAAAAATGACAAGTTTTTTTTCTGGCTTTGTATATGTCACCATCTTTCCACCAATGCAACCCATCCCCCATCGTTAAAATTCTGTTTTGCATTCATAATCTTGAATGTAAATTTAAAAGAAGGGAACTAATAGGGAACTAGAAGGGAACTAGAAGCAACCATACGAAATATAGTTTCCATTTGTAATGGGCAGACACTATTAGAGCAGACTGAGTAAACCTTCTCAATCCTATCAATCATCAGAACTTGGAGCTACAATACATTTGAATAAATAATTTGCTGGAATTTATTGTTCAGTCAGACTTTAGGAATAAAGACAACTCTCAATATCCAAATGTGTTAGTTCAGCTCTGGCCTACAATCTAGCATATCTCAAATATGCTTACATCCAGATTCCAAGCAAATCTGGTTGGGATAAGGTGTGCCATATGCCAGCATGATTCAGAGAGAGAAAATTTGGATTTCAGACAAATATAAGTAGGAAGTATAAGTTATTCTATATAAGTTATTCTATATCAATGCATTGCTGAAAGAGAGATATTCAATTTGATATAGTGGTTAAGGCAACAGGCTGGAAATGGGGAGCTGGTGAGTTTTATTCTCACCTTATTCATAAAGGCATCTAGGTGACCTTGGACAAATTACTCCAGTGGTGGAATTCAAACTTTTTTACTACCAGTTCTGTGGGCGTGGATTGGTGGATTGGTGAGCATGAGTTGGTGGGTGTGGCAGGGGAAGAATAGTGCAAAATTCCCATTCCCTCCCCACTCCTGGGAGAAGGATACTGCAAAATCCCCATTACTTCCGCATTCCAGGGTAAGGATACTATACAATCTCCACTGTATAGGGAAAGGATACTGTAAAATCTCCATTTCCCACCGACTCTTGGGCAAGGATACTGTAAAATTCCCATTCTCTCCCCAGCCCACTGACTTGCTTTTCATCTCTGTTCTCCTGTGCAGGACAACCCAGCTGATCAGCAGGGATTCAGGAGATAGAGAATAGATGGGGGCAGAGCCAGTGAGGTGGTATTTGCCGGTTCTCTAAACCAGTGTTTTTCAACCACTGTGCCGCGGCACACTAGTGTGCCGTGACATAGTGTAAGGTGTGCNTGTGCCGCGGCACACTAGTGTGCCGTGACATAGTGTAAGGTGTGCCGTGGGAAAAACACTTTATATATAGTCAATATAGGCACAGAGTTAATTTTTTTTAACATTTTCTAATGGTGGTGTGCCTCGTGATTTTTTT